TAGGAGAATGTGACCCCTGAAGGGACATGTATACGGCTTACTTTTGAGCACCACATCTTGCCACATAAAGAAGGGAAGAGCAGCTCTGGTGGAGGAATCAGCATGCACAAAGGCTCAGGGTGTGACAGTGGCTGGAAGTCTGAGGATCTCTGGGTCAGGTCAACGTGGCAGAGCATAGAGCCACGGTGAATGTGCAGATGACCAGGAAGCTAGGTGGGGCTTGGTGGTGAGAGGCCTTGACGTCCATGACATGGAGTTGTGGATTCAATCCATCTGTGATGAAGGCTTGTATGTATGAATGACTGGGGTTGTAGAAAGTTCTGCTGGGAGCCATGCAGAGGGGATGAGGCTGGAGGTCGGTAGACTAGTGAAGGCACTACTGGAGCAATCGTGCAGGACCTAAGTAGATTCTGAGAGTGGGGGAGGCGAGTTGAGAAGGTTTATAGCTTGGGTCAATGAATCAGTATGACGCCGTGACTGGAGTTAGCCAGAACTTTACAAAGCAGATAGAACCTGTTAAAAGGTCAAACATTTGTTGAATGAATTCATTAGTGAAAGAATGGCTGGACAGAGAGGGATGGAGACACAGGACACAAAGTGGAAGCAAAACTGGTGGAAGTCAGGAAATGGGTTTGGTTTTCGATCTGTGGAAATTGAGATCCTTCCAGCAACCAGGTGAGGACACCACCAGTTGACTGATGAGTAGGAGATGTCTGCCATGAAAACTGCACGTGAACCCACTGGAGTTCATTACACTCTGCCTGTCCCCACCCAGGAGGTTACATCTTCCATCAAGGGGAGGTGCTTCCTGCAACTGCCTCTTTGTGGCCTCCAGCAGGGGGCAGCACAAAGGATGGGTCAGAAGAAAAGAACTCGGGCTTAAGTATGTGCGGTTTAAGCCATAGGTCTCTAGAAGCTTCTCTCACAGGTATGGAATTCAACCACAATGCCCACTGTGGTAAAGCACTGTTTTGATCCAAGAAGAGAGTGACGAACAGAATGAAACTGAGACCAATTCATCTTTCAAGTAGAATCTCTGAGCTGTATTTTGTTTGGTTAAGAATGGAAATTCCACTTTTATTCCAAGCCAATCTTCTGATGCACCAAATTCAAGGATAAACGTTCATCCAAGAACTTTAAAAAAAAAAAAAAAAAAAAAGTGAGAGCACCATGATTAAAAAACAAAACAAAACATTGTTTTGCAAGGGAGGGGCGGACCGGTCTTATCCTCAGTTGGGGCAGAATTCCTAATCCTAGTCTCTAGAAACAACACAGGGCCTTGAGCAAAAAAAAAAAAAAAAAAAAAATTTTTTTGGTTGGGGGTGTTCATTTCCTCCTATGTAAAAATGAAAGAATTTAATTAAATAACTTTGGATTAACTGCCAGGGCTGAGGTTTATGATAAGATTGTGATTAGGGGCACAGAGAAGAAGAAAATGTCTTTTTTAAAAAAAAAAAAATTTTTTTTTCTTTTTTTCAACGTTTATTTATTTTTGGGACAGAGAGAGACAGAGCATGAACGGGGGAGGGGCAGAGACAGAGGGAGACACAGAATCGGAAACAGGCTCCAGGCTCTGAGCCATCAGCCCAGAGCCTGACGCGGGGCTCGAACTCACGGACCGCGAGATCGTGACCTGGCTGAAGTCGGATGCTTAACCGACTGTGCCACCCAGGCGCCCCGAAGAAAATGTCTTAATAAGCACTTCTTTGTTGCCTGTTTGAGCCTTTCTTAGTAAACTAATACATTAACACTATTCCTGGAGAGAAAAATCTTGGAAATGACCCATTTCACCAACAGGAGAGCATTGCCAGTAATTCACATGTGGTAGAGTTAAAAAAGAACCTAGCTCAGATAGGTCAGGGAAAAAATTCAAAATAAGTGTTTATTTTTCTGATCAAATCTAAACAATCGGTCTCAAAATAGAACAGCCCCAGAAAAGCCACAGACTCTTCCAAGTGGAAGTCCTCTACTCAGAGGAGGGTGACGCAGAGAAAAGAGGAAAAGGTGGGGCGCCTGGGCGGCTCAGTCGGTTAAGCGTCCAACTTCGGCTCAGGTCATGATCTCACAGTCCGTGAGTTCAAGCCCCACGTTGGGCTCTGTGCTGACAGCTCAGAGCCTGGAGCCTGCTTCAGATTCTGTCTGTCTGTCTCTCTCTCTCTCTCTCTGCCCCTCCCCTGCTCATGCTCTGTCTCTCTGTGTCTCAAAAATAAATAAAAACATTTAAAAAATTAAAAAAAAAAAAAAAAAGAGGAAAAGGTATTTCCCTCCCATACCAAGGGAGTAGAGCTAACAATGTGTTTGTCAAACTCTTTACACATATTTAGGAGCAGAGCATCCTTTAGGCCAAAAGAATAAGCTGATTGTGAAGCACAGATACTTCCAACCAGAAGCCAAGTAGGGCATTTGGTCGGACAACAGGATACGGCTAAGCAAAATGAGGTCCTCCTCCACAAATCCTACAGTCTGGGTCAGAGCTTCTACAGGTTGATCAATCCAGGGTCCAGTGGCTCAAATGTCTGAAATTGTTTCCCGTGCTTGCTGCTCCCTCTTCGCCAGGTAGCATGAGCCCTGGCTTCTGCTCAGTGAGTGCACACTCTCAACAAGCAGGAAGCTTCTGTATGGGAGTGAGAAGCTAGGACAAAAAACAATCAGCTAGAGTCTGGATGGTTGTGGAATGTTTTGCTGGGCAGAGTGAGATTGAAAATTGGTTGGAAAGGGGAAAAGGAGTCCTAAACACAAAGGACAGAACAATAAAGCTTACAAAAAAAGATAGAAGGTTAAAGAAAAAAACTTAGCATGCCCCAAGGTGGTGACAGATTTCTTATGACACAAGAGCGGCCATCTTAAATGAGAAGTCTGACCTGACTTCATTTTAAGATTAATAAATGATTCTATTTATGTAAAGCTCCAAACAGGCAAAACTAAACCACAGTGTTTAGGGAAGCACACTTAGGTTGAAAATTCTGGAGAGAGGCAAATAAGTGATTGCCATAAAAGTCAGGGTAATGGTTTCTTTGGAAGGTAAGAAGAGGGCTACGCCAGGGAACACTTTTGGAGTCTGATGAAGGCCTATTGCTTGATTTAGATGTGGTTCTATGGAAGCTCAGTTTATAATAATGCATTAACTTGTACATTTATGTCTTGTGTACTTTTCTGTGTGTATATGATACTGGACATAAAGGTTTTAAGAAAAAAAAAAGTGAAGAGGAAGCAGAGAGCTAGACTGAGAACGTGAGAATGTGCCCTAAGAACACGACCCCAGAGAGCTTACAGACAAGTTTAAGAAGAGCCAAGAAGGATGAAAAGAGAATAAGCTTGTCTTCTGTCAGTGATGATCAAAATTCAGACAAAGGTCATTCAAATCAACTTAAAAACACAAATATTATTAAGAAATTATTAGTTTTTAAGATGTAATAATCTGTGTGTATTTACAGACTCCTTATCTTTTATTTTTTTATTTAAAAAATTTCCTTAATGTTTATTTTTGAGAGAGAGAAAGAGAGAGCAAGGAAGGAAAGGGCAGAGAGAGAGAGGGAGACACAGAATCCGAAGCAGGCTCCAGGCTCTGAGCTGTCAGCACAGAGCCCAACGTGGGGATCAAACCCATGAACCATGAGATAATGACCTGAGCTGAAGTTGGGACGCTCAACCGAGCCACCTACGTGCCCCATTAGAAATACATTCCAACACATTTATGACAGAAATGATATGACACCTGTGATTTGCTTCAAAAGAAACTCGGGCAAGAGGGGGACAGTTAGTGTATGGAGATCAGATGAAACGCCACTGGCTGTGAACCGCTGTGGCTGGGCAGTGGATACGTGAGGGTTCATTTGATATTTTCTCTACTGTGAAATTAAGTTTGGAAGTTACCGTTGTTTACCATTGTTTAAAAAAATAACAAAAGAATACATTCTTTTTTTTTTTAATTTTTTTCTAATGTTTCTTTATTTTTGAAAGAGAGCACACAAGTGGGGGAGGGACAGAGAGAGAGGGGAACAGAAGATCTGAAGCAGGCTCTGTGTTGCCAGCAGCAAGCTGATAGCGGGGCTCAAACTCACAAACTGTGAGATCATGACCTGAGCTGATGTCAGACGCTCAACCAACTGAGCCACCCAGGTGCTCCAGGAATACATTCTTGGAAAGGCTCTAATGCTGGTTGTTCAACAGCCGGAAAGGACTCTCTCTCTGGCACTACAGATGAACATATTTCTTGACATCCAGGGCCTCTCCTAGGCCTACACAGGCCCTGCTCAGCACCCAATCCCTCACCTAAACCAAGAGCCAGCAACAGTGCCCCCACACCCTCTTTCAACAACCAAAGTAAATGATTATAATAACTAAAGCCCCTTTCATCTTATAATTTCTTGGCAAGAATCTGGAAATGCCTCAAATACTTTTAGATGGGTGGGACCAAGTGGTATTAAATCCAAAAGCTCATGCAAATATATATTGGACAAAGGGTTTGTACCCCAACTTTAAAAAGAACTCATGAATCAACAGTAAGATGAATGATCCAATAAAAAACCGGCAAAAAATGTGAAGACACCTCAAAGAAGTAAATAGGTGGAGAGCCAATAAGCAATGGAAAGCGTTCAACATCATTAATCATTAAGGAAATGTAAATTAAACCACTTCATACACACTAAAGAGCAGAAATAAAGAGCATGCACCATGCTAAATAAATACTGGTGAGGAGTTGGAAGAACCAGAATCCTCATACACTGCTGGTGGGCCTATAAAATGGTACAACTACTTTGAAGAATTGTTATGGAGGTAAATGTATAACCCTACAATTCTTCCCCAAGGGAAATTTTAAAATATGTTCAGGGGCACCTGGGTGGCTCAGCTGGTTGAGCACCCGACCCTTGATTTCAGCTCTGGTCATGATCTTGTGGTTCATGAGATCGAGCCCCACGTTGGGCTCTTCTGTGCTAACAGCACAGAGCCTGCTTGGGGTTCCCTCTCTCCCTCTCTCTCTGCCCCTTCCCTCCCCCCCCTCTCTCTCTCTCTCTCAAAATAAAATAAACTTAATATAAGTAAGTAAATAAATAAATATGTTCATAATAAGAACTGTCCAAGCTTATAGCCGCTTGTCCCACTCCAAGCTGGAAACACCTCCAACAACTGGAAAACAGAAATCGTGACATGTTCATCCAATGGAGTACTTCTCAGCAATATCAAAGGACAAACTATGGATACATACAACAGAATGGATGAACCCACATACGTTAAAGGCATAGGTATGATTCCATTTATATGACATTCTAGAATCCACTGCAAAAAATGGCAGTGATAGGAGACCGAAGGTGACTGGGGGGGGGGGGGGGGGGCGGCTGGCAGTTGACTAGAAAAGAGCATGAGGAAACTTTCTAGGGAGATAGAAATGTTCTACATCTTGCTTTGAGTGATATTTACATAACAGTTGTCCAAACACATTGAACTGGACACTTAAGATCTGTGCTTTTTTTTTTTTTTTGAATCGAAAAAAATTTTGTTCTTTCCATCTAGGGGTAGGTGATCGAGAACTCCAGAGTGAACACATGGTACTTGCCTACTGGGCACATTCACCTTTCCACGAGTGATCACCACCCCCCTTCCTTCTCTTCTATTACCCGCTGTCCTGGTGAACAGCAAAAACCACCCTGTACCCATTTTCCCAAGACTGAAAATTGGGAGTCGTCCGTGATCTTCCTTCTTCCTTCCTCCTACTCAGTCACTTCCTGGATAGCTCCTGAGCCCACTCCACTGCCTCTTCTCCATCCCAACTGCCTTGGCTGGAGTTTAGATCCAGGTTGTTACACCTGCCTCCTGACCATTTCCAGTCTGGCTCCCTGGTCTATCCTCATCCAAACACAAAGCCTCTGCTTAACTTCCTCTTTCGCTCTCAATCACTCTGAGCATAAAGACCAAAGTCCTTAGCAAGAAAAGCAAAAGCAGTGAGTTCCTTTTGTGCATGGAGCAACTCTTTGCTTTAGCTGTTACAGCTGCCTCGAGCACCCTACCACCACCCTACCCTTCATACTTCCTTCCCATCCCTATCTTCATAGCTGTCTACCTGATAAGTCTCCATTCTTCCTTAAGGCTTACATCAAGCATCACCTAGTCGTGGTCTTTTTTTTTTTTTAACATTTATTTATTTTAGACAGAGAGAGAAACAGAGAGACAGAGACAGAGGGGCAAGTGGAGGAGGGACAGAGAGAGAGGGAGACACAGAATCCAAAGCAGGCTCTAGGCTCTGAGCTGTCAGCACAGAGCCTGATGTGGGGCTCTAACTCACGAGCTGTGAGATCATGACCTGAGCCGAAGTCAGACGCTTAACTGACTAAGCCACCCAGGCGCCGTCCCTAGCATCACCTATTTTTACAAGCCTAGGTATCCCTCCTCTGCACTCTGCCTCCAGACATCACCTTACACTGTGTGGGGCTTACTTACACGCTTATGAGATGGTTCCGATTGCATGAAAGCACTTTATGTATGTTAGCTCATTTAATAGCAATTGTCACTCTGCATGATGATTGGTCTTCTCTTTGTCTAAATGGTAAATAGGGACTATTTTGTTGCAATTTTTCCCTCATACCTTTTCAGGTACTAGGAAAGTATAGGTATGAGCTTAACGATTTGTTGAATTAATGAATCTCAATACAAGTGAAGGCACGGACTGGTAGCTACATCATTTTACTCCAACAAGCAAAGTGAGCATCTAGGGCAGACTAGCTACTGAGCTTTCTACCCGGTGTGCTATCGCAAAGCCCAGCCATAGCTGGAGAAGTCCGCAGAGGAAGTCACATGCCATGCCCAATCCTCAGATGTCTCAACTGCTTTACTCTCTTCTTTCGCTACAAGCAGCTCCTTACAACCACCTCAAAGTAACTACTGTGTACCTTGCATCATTCTGGCCTCCCACACACATGGTCTCATTTAATCCCCACAACAGCCCTGAAGGTGGGCATCGTCATCATCCCCGAGTTTACATATGAGAAAACTGAGGTTCAGAGACGGTGCAGAAACTTTGTTTAAAGAACCAGACTTGTGGGAAGCTACTTGTTTAAGGTGAGATTGACTCTATCAACAGCTGGGGATTTCAGGAGGTGATTGACTTGCAACCTCCCAAGAAGTGATAAAAAGCAGAGAACCAGGTGCTCAGTCGGTTAAGCGTCTGACTTTGGCTCAGGTCATGATCTCACAGCTCGTGAGTTAGAGCCCTGCGTGGGACTCTGTGCTGACAGCTCAGGGCCTGGAGCCTGCTTTGGATTCTGTGTCTTCCTCTCTCTATGCCCCTCCCCTTCTTCCTCTCTTTCTCTCTCTCTCAAAAATAAATAAACATTAAAAAAAAAAAAGCAGAGAACCTGGTGGTTCAGTTGGTTGAGCATCTGACTCTTGACGTTGCTCAGGTTGTGATCTCTCAGGCGTGGGATTGAGTTCCTTGTCAGGCTCTGTGCTGGGCACAGAGCCTGCTTGGGATCCTCTCTCTCTCTCTCTCTCTCTCCCTCCCTCCCTCCCTCCCTCTGCCCTTCACCTGCGTGCACACATTCACTCTCTCTCTCTCTCTCTGTCTCTGTCTCAAAATAAATAAACATTAAAAACAAAAAGGCAGAGAACTATCCTGATAGAACTGTAATCCCATGGAGTACAGAGCCTGCAGAATGCTAGGAAAGCGAGCTGGACTCTACTTGGCCACGTGGAACCAGGAGACAGAAGCCAAGGCCAGGCCAAGGAGAAGGAGCAGAAATTGGGCAGGTGGGTGGTCCCGTCTTTCCTGAGGAAGGGTAGGGTGAGGGAAAGATCTGTAGGCAACTGACCCAACTTCTCCCCCACGTGTCTGAGACCTCAGTTCACAGGATCTAAAACTCCTCATTTTTTTTTTATTTAACTTTATTTTTTAAAATTGACATCCAAATTAGTTAGCATATATAGTGCAACGATGATTTCAGGAGTCGATTCCTTAGTGCCCCTTACCCATTTAGCCCATCCCCCCTCCCACATTCCCTCCAGTAACCCTTAGTTTGTTCTCCACATTTATGAGTCTCTTTTGTTTTGTCCCCCTCCCTGTTTTTATATTATTTTTGTTTCCCTTCCCTTATGTTGATCTGTTTTGTCTCTTAAAGTCCTCATATGTAAAACTCCTCATTTTAAAGTGGAAAAGAAAAGACTAGTTTTCTATCTTTTCCTCCCATTTTTTCTTCCCACCAACCTGTGGAAGACGTGTGCCCATTGGGCCGGAGGGTAGCAGCTGGAGGAGGAAGAGAGCTGATTTGGATGAGGGACCTGGCTCGCTCTCACTAAATCCCAATTTCCCAGACAGGGAACCACCCTGTCCACAGCCCAGGCCTCTCCTCTTCTCTCCCCTGGCTCGCAGGCAGGGGCTGCTTGCTGGCTATTGTAAAAGTAGTCTCTGTTCTTGGAGTTCAACCAGCACAGGCCTCAAATTTCCGTGACACCCACAGCTGGCAGTCCCTCCCACACCACCTTCGTGACCTGAGGCTAAAGAAGGAAAAAGCTGGCCATAAACGTCCTGGGCCAAGAAACTAAAGCCTCCTCCCAAGAGAGATCACCCATGAGAAGACCCTCTGGATTCCTCCCCGGAAAGCAGGCACGACACCGGAAGCAGAAGTTCTCATAAAGACAAGCACGAGGAAAGCTCACTTCACGAGGATTGTAGGGATAAGTGACCCATACAGTGCACAGTACAGAGATAGGGCAGCAAGATCACAAGACGTGGGCCTAGTCAGGGGGATGAGCACAGCTAAAGAAAGACTGGGTGGGGAGTGCTGTGGATGTGATGTGGGGTGTGGCCAGCAAAGAGCAGAGAAAATCAGGGTGCACAAAAGCAGGTTCTGAAGTGTGCCCAGCACTGCGGGGGGCGGGGGGTGACATTCAGTGGTCGCAGGAGAAGGGTTAAGCTGGAACTAGGGGGAAGGAAGTATCCCTCCATCTGGCCATCCATCTACCTTGTTAACACATCTTCTGGTCCCTGATCTGGTTTTCTAGCCACCAGAGAACAGGGAAATGCAGTGTCCAGGATAGAATACAAACATTCAGAAGCCAGGACAGGGGTGCATGGCCCTTGTGAATTAATCAGCTAGCCTGAGCTGATGTCTGACCCCAAGGGTCTCACCACCTATGGATGTCCTAGGAAAACGTGTCTCTAGAATGTGAATGAACGGATCTTTAGCAGCTACATCCCAATAACTGGTCTAGAACCCAGGGAACCAGAGGCCAAAAATATGGTTTTCATATACTCACATATGATTAATCAACCCCACAAAATTACTTGGTAAACTGAAGTACCCGGTGGAGAGCTGGCCGGCCTCACCTTAGTAACAGTCATACGCTGCTGGCCAGGGCGGCCCACCTACCTGCACTTGTAATTTCTAGAGACTGTAAAAACCAAGTGTTAGAATTTGTTATTTCTTATTATTATCATTAACTTGTGGGTTTTTCTCCAGATATATAGCTGAGGACAAGGAAGAGCGACTGAGGTATGCATGAAAAAAGAGACTGGGGGCGGCTGGTGGCAAAGTCGTTTAAGCATCCGACGCTTGATTTCGGCTCAGGTCATGATCCCAGGGTCATGGGATGGCGCCTTGTGTCGGGCTCTGCACTGAGTGTGGAGCCTGCTTAAGATTCTCTCTCTCTGCTCTCCCCTGCTCTCTCTCTCTAAAATAAAAATTAGGGGCGCCTGGGTGGCTCAGTCGGTTAAGCGGCCGACTTCAGCTCAGGTCATGATCTCGCGGTCCATGAGTTCGAGCCCCGCGTCGGGCTCTGTGCTAACAGTTCAGAGCCTGGAGCCTGTTTCGGATTCGGTGTCTCCCTCTCTCTGACCCTCCATGCTCTGTCTCTCCCTGTCTCAAAAATAAATAAAACGTTAAAAAATAATAATAATAAAATTAAGTTAAAATTAAAAATAATGCTCTTAAAAAAAAAAAAAAAAAAGGAGGAATCTGGGGGCACCCGGGTAGCTCAGTTGGTTGAGTTTCTGACTTCAGCTCAGGTCATGATCTCACGGTTGATGGGTTCAAGCTCTGTGTCAGGCTTTCTGCTGATGGCTCAGAGCCTGGAGCCTGCTTCAGATTCTGTGTCTCCCTCTCCCTCTGCCTCTCTCCTGCTCATGCTCTGTCTCTCTCCCAAAAATAAACATTAAAAAGAAAACTTAAAAAAAAAAAAAAAAAAGAGAGTCTGGCTGAGCATATCATCTGGCAAGAGCCATCTTAGGGGAAAGAGGGACATCCAAGACAGAGCAGTCCCGAGCCAGGTCTCCCAGGTGGGATAGACTGGCACGGGGGAGAGAGATCCAGGAAAATGGCCTTGGCAGGATGACAGGTCCCATAATGAACAGGCAAGCCTTGGATGGCAAACGTATTAACAGATGTGCATGTCTGAGCAGGAGGCTGGCCGTCAAAAGGGTTAAGGATTCTGTAGTGAATCTCCTACTTCGTCCTT